TGTGTAGGCATACATGGATATAGACTGACTCGATTAATTTATTTCATATTAGCCAGACTACTTTTGCTCGAGTGTGCGTGTGTGTGTTAACGTATATATGCAATATTGGCCCTAAATCAGACATACACGCTTACACGATTACATCTCATTATCGTGTTTTTTTTCTTGTGTCGTTAAATCTTGATGACAAGAGCCTGACATGAGGCTTTCTTAATCACTCTGATTTAGGACCGGTATTGCATATTGACGTTAACACACATACTCACACGAGTAAAATTAGCAGACAAATATGAAAGATTATTGGTCAAACTATTCCTTATGCTTATACATTTTCGTTTTTTTAGCTCTGATAATGTCCATCATATGGTGGACGAACTCTTAGCTCGTTTTTACCCGAAACGAGGGAGGTCTTGTGGATGCGTAACTCTAATCACCTTATCCTCATTTTATTAAAAATTGATTATCAAAGGATTTCTTAAAAATGTCATGTTTTTATATCATGTTTCCATTCCTGTGAAATTTTGGGTGGAAGATGGGCAATTAGTTTCGCTGGAAACCAAGCGAAGATGGCTTAGTAATTATGACGGATGATTTTACCATAGAAACCCTCACCACTATTTTCGATATCGATTACTCTGTAATGTGGCAGATAGTGTTAGTACCAGAAGCTATTAGCTAAACTTCATCAAAAATTACACCACGCAAGTTGTTCCGCTATAACTCTGTATATTTATACGTTTTAAGCAGCAAATTAGATCATATTTTGCTTCATTACGCTATCCTCATCGAATTATAACAAGTCGACCACCATTTTTGGTTTAGTGTTCTCTTCTTCCACCAAGCCTTAACACGGAGATCAAGGATCACAGAACGGTGCTCTAAGAACCTCCAACACATCTTCAAGGCAATTATTCACTCGTTTATGAGGCAAATTTACGATTTCGTTTAGCTCAAAGTTTTGTGTGTAATACTAGCTCAAATTTCAGCTTACTCTAATTTAACCGAAACGTCAGAGTTTGTCCTATTGTCTAATTGACCATGTCTCATAGCCATGGTAGAAACTGACCAATTCTCTTGCTTTGTATATTCCGATCGTGGTTTGTTCACCATCGTGCTGAGATAAGAGTCGAGGGCAATTTCCCAAATGACTTGTGCAGTGACTTATTTTTTGCTTGATATTTCTCTTTGTAGTCATACTGTCAAGTTAACAGGAGTCACTTGTTGTTTCTCCAGGTTTTATTATAAAGAGGCTTTATTCTGGGATATTGTATTACTTACTCCATATTTCTTCTATGTGTCTTACAGGTTTTCAAGCTAGTTTAACATGATCTTTGAGCTGTCTTATGTCATTAAGATGCCATCGTCGAAGGCCGGTTTGCTTATCTTGCAGCGCATGTCATTATGGTTTTTACATTCCCCATCCCGATAAGTCAATTATTTTTGGTGTGAATTGGCTGTCATTCGATGTAGGAATAGGTGTAAGTGCCTAGCAGGCTTCTTTCTTAGTGTCATAAAGACTCCAGATCACTGAAATTCTTCTGCATAGCCATATTATCACTATGTCCTGCCAGTTAAAATGCTCTTTTTGTAATCGGCAAGATATGCTGTTTTTCTATCGATTTCCCCGATGTGTGGCATGCCCATTGTATAGAAATTCCAAATTGGGAATTAGATTCTATTGAACTGAACTATGTAAAAACGACTTCCTGCTTGCTTGACTCGGATTACTTCGTCTTTATTTTTGTGGATTAGGAAACTTATGCATGCTTTACACTACACTCAATGGGCTTTTTAACATTATTCCACATAATCTCAATTAACAGGAAAAGAAATTTAATATTTCAGTAACTCAGCTTCCTAAAAAGCTCGGATTTTAATTTCCTATCTCTAGATAATGTTCGAGGACTGATTCTTTTTATATAAGCTTCTAGTTTATAGTCAGCTCACTGGAAAAAGGGGAGCTTGCTGACTTCTTTGAGGATTCTGAATACCTTATTAACCACATTTACTTCAACTTGTTATTTTAAAATTAAAACTTTACTATTTTGATTTACCTATTATTTTACTTATATTTTATGTTTAATATACTTATATCTATATTACTCTTAGAATTATTATACTTTATATATTGTGTGTCTACCTTTTAAAGCCCCTGACTACGTCTTTATATGTTGTGGCTGCGATTAAAGGCAACACTTATCTACACTACATTCAAGTTTTTCTTACCAAAAAGCAACATATACAGTCACTTAGTAAGTATCTTTAACTATCCACTCGGCTTAGATGTTATCCATATCTGCATTCCGGACCCGATGCGATCTTTAACCGAAATTTCGTTGTAGTTTCATTACTTGCTTAATTAGATATTATTTAAGATATAAATAATTTATTTATACATTTTTGCCTATATAACCTTGAAATTGCTTAATTTCTACTCTCATTGCAATTATTTCCATACTGTTTGTTTTATACTTTGATAAAAGTGCATTTCTATTAAAAGATGAACCTATTTTAATACAGCACATATCTCTTGATAGCTAGTGCATCTTGCTTTGTCTGCTTTCCTTTCCTTTTCCTGTCAGACGACCAGGCTAATTTATCCCAATCCTCCGGCGAATCTTCTGTTTTATTCGAGGCGGCAAGCCTCCTTCTTATGCCTCTCGACATTATCTCTCGGCAGCTCGGCTCAATTCGGCCTCTTGGTACCTCCGATCCTCCTTGTGGGCCTGATGCTAACACTGAAGGTCTATCCACAAACATTTCCACCCTACATTTTATGCTTGGCGATGTGTCTCACGGTCACCCAACTGCACAAATGGCCTCAGTCAACTTGCTTGATCGACTACTGAGTCTATTTTCCGTACCGATCGATGCAGGTTCAGCTGATGGCAGTAGGACCAAGCGTAGCCTTCCCTTCTCAGGAGTCACGGCTAAGAAGTTACTTGAAGATTTATTTAAGCAAAACATCTTGGAGGTGAGTATTTATCCATTGTTCATATTTGGTCTGGCTTTTATGTGAAGCACTTGATCATTTTCTGATTGCTAGCTTCAAGCATATTGAACAAAAGCTGTTTTGGGACGATGTTTTTAAAAATTTCATGTCACTTCATTTTGTATTAAAATTAGTTTGAAAGGTACATATTACCTGGCCTTAACGGAAACCCAAGGAAGAATGTCTTGGAATAGTGGCTTTATTTGAATACAGAAAGGATGCTTATAACTTAAAGATTTGTTATTAACATATCGAATAATAACCTATACTGATGTCAGATTTCATCTATGAATTCTTATAAATCTTAAGCTGGTTGATGGACAAGATATAGTTATTATGGAAACTTCTTTATATTGTTTTACTTGGTTTTGGTATGTACTTGTTACTTCCTCAAACAGGGAAACATAGGTCTTGGACTTAGAGTTATTTCAGCATCCAAATTTAGCCATTTTTAAGAAATTATGAAAAGGATCGATCAGGAGATTTTTAAACTTTACTTCATCTTTTATATGAAAATCAAGATAGTATGGCCTTTTATATGGTTGCAGTCCCTTTTCGATGTATAGAAGTGGGTTGAACTCGTTTTCAAAACTTGATCGTGTTTTCAAGGCGACTTAGACGCACCTTGTCCGAGATCCTCTGCTATAATAGTTAACATATTTTCTAACGTCGGACCGCGGACTTGGTACATTCCCAGAGATTTTGCTGGCATTGTCAGCGAACTTTGCCACTCTGACGTCCCCTCCAACTGGGGGCAGTCGTTTCGCACTGCAGTCATTTATCTGGCCGGTAAGTTAAATGTGTTCAGCTACCTCCCATGTTTCCGTATCCATTTTTCTGCGTAGTCACTGGTGTCCTTTGATCATTGTGCTGATTGTCCTTCCCGTCTATCCGATGTATTTTTTTTACAGTATTTGCATTTTATTCTGTAAACTCCGGAGCCATCTTTGACCCTCCGACCAAGTTGCGAAAACGGGTTTGAGCCAACTGCGACTAAGCATAAGGCCAAACCATCTTGGTCTTCATATCTAAAACCTAATTATGGTGGTAAGATTGCCAGTCAATGCACTCATTACAGCAGATCAAAGAAAACAATATCAAGTCAATCTTCGGATTTTACGTTTCTTAACTGTTGTAAACGTTATAATATCTTCTATAGTTTTTGTAATTTTATGAGAAAATGTTATTTTGATAAGGTCGATTATATATTATATCAAGATTTGTTGCAAAAAATTAGAGGAAACATACGACAGAGGGCAAAATTATTTGTTTTTATATATTAGCTCTAGGCTCAGGTGATTCGGATTCTCACCCAGGAGAATTTCCTGAAACTACAGACGTCAGACAAAATGTCGAAAAGGATCCATTATTTAATCTAAAAAAGACACCAGAAGAAGCTGAATATATATGGGATCTATAGGCAACTCAAAGGCGAAAATGAAGATGACTCTAGAATGACGAATCCCACGGTCCACACAAAAGATGAAGACAAAGTAGTGATTCTGTCTTCCGTCCCTATTTACCTCGAAACCACGGCGATCATCAATAAGGGGCTAACTTTTGCACTTGTGAATGAATGGAAGGCAATCAAGGACATTTTAGTATAAGTGATAAATACCTATGAGAATCTACCGGAAGAATCAAAAGGAGAACTGGAAATGAAAATCATCCCAACAACCTGGGCGAATCGAGAACCCACGAATAGGATTATTATGATCAAGATGTATGGAGAATTGAAAATAAACAGTGAATTAGTTATACGAACCGACTAAGCAGGTGCCACAGTGGTGATGGACAGAAAGGAAGATAAAGAGAAAATTAAAAAATATTATTATGGACACCACGACTTATCGACCGCTCACAAAAGACCCAACAGCTAAAATCAAAGTGGCGCTGCGAGAATTGCCTAAGGAAATGAATAGGAACGGGTAAATCAACAAAAGAACAATGAACTCACTCATACGAAAGGATGCAAGAACCCTATTAGAATACGGTTTGCTAAAGGTACACAACTTCGCATCTCACCTGTGACCCTAGGGCACTCGTGACAATGTGGCCGAGTGGTTAATCTGTCAAGCTCCCATTCTGCACTTTCACGGTTCGACTCCCGCTGGGAGTGTTGATAAGACCGATGCGATGTCGAAACTGCAGTCCGCCCTGGATGAGAACAACTTTTGTGCAAGCATGACTATGTGAAATTTAATGGAAACGTCAGCTCTACTCATATTGTGGGAAAATTCTATTACCAGTCCTTCATCATCTGAAACCAAATTGGGTTAATACATATAATATTACTAGGATATAGGTATTGCATTCTTTGCTCTCCATTTTTATAGTTTATTTTATGCTTTCGTCATTATTTCTCGACTCAGTAATGCCTTGCCATGTTTCTCTTTTATTGAGTCCAGCTAAAAATATATTCTTTCTAAGATTTTGCTTAGTATTTTAGTTCAATTATAGTCTTTTACTTAAATCCGTTAGTTTTTTACGCCACTTCGCCTAACGTCACCTAATCATATCATATCTCATCACAACATTCATTTTCACTTAAACCAACCATAGTATTTAATTGACAGACTAACAAACGAGCTCAGTCTGCTTGAGAAACATTTGCTGGGCCAGACGCTTACAGACAAATTAGACAGCAGTGATGGTGCTTCAGTTACTGGGATTCAATTTTCTGGTGGCAAACAAACTACTACTGCTGCTTCCGCTTCTGCCTTCTTCTTCTCCCAAGTGGTCCTTGCTTTCTTCTGTCGCATAGCCACCCACCCACACGGAGCAAAGGTATGTGAACCATTGTGCGATGTTATTTAACGCTGCTTCGGAATGATAATTAGGCATTGTTTTGACTTATTGTGACATGACTCTCCATTTCGAAATGAGAGACAAAATAGGAGGTATGAAGTCGATGATAATAAGGAGTCTGAGGCTAGCAGATGTAAACGACGGGATTAGTAGATTGGGGCATACACTGCTTCAAAACAATTATCCATTATGGTTAAAAGGCAATTATGTATCAAATGTCGTTAACAAGATGACATGGTCAAAAGTACAACTTTTTTGGGTTACGGGGACATCACATCAAAGCGTAAGATTAGGGAGTCTATATAAATTAACAAAACAGCGAACGTCCTGAATAGGA